TCTTGAAATAATAAAAAAAAAAAAAAAAAATGAAGCATTAGAAAATATTTTCTTTGGCAAAGAAAAACATTTAAATTTATTCATTTTGATTTAGTTTAATTTACCATTTTGAATCTAGAGGGTTTTTAATAATCATCTGTCACAATGTTATTCTGGTACTTGTTTTGCACTCTATAAGTTAATCAAACAAAATTCTTTAAAACAATTATTAATACCTGTGTGGGAACTTTGATGGGTTGATAATAGGTTTTGCTCAATTCTTGATTAGTTTTGTAAATTAATTTTTTTGAGGATTTTATACACACCTTCATCTTTTCATTTGGTTAAATGCACTTTTTGTTAGTGGGGGAAAGAATTAAATGTTGACACTGCTGAATTTTTTTTTATGTTCAAAGAATTTAGATAATCCAAAATGTAAATAACATTTAGTACAAATCTGTTAAAGACTGATTTGGTAATAATTTCTCATTTGCAGTTTTTCTGAAAGTATTTTTATTGACTTGGTTTCTTTTGAAATTGTTGTTTCCAGAAATGTTTATTTTCAAAGCAAATTGGTTATAAAGTTGTCGGTTATTAGGTTGTTAAAATATCTTGATTGAAATAATTGCTGCTCTTAGGCACATTTTCTTTTGACCAAACAAGAAAATATTTCTAATGTAAAGACAATTGTATAAGCAATGAAAAGTTAGCCTTCCTTGAAGGCTAGAGTTATCAGATTTGTAATAAATTTGAGACTTATATGGGTTCTGTGTTGAATATAGAAATAGCATGTATGAAGAAAGAAAGGATGACCACTGTGTTGACATTGTTTGTGGTAGATGTTACATCAGAATATTATTGGGTAAGAGGAAGTGCAGCTAAAGAGAAAGGGTGTTATGGTTACGACTGAAGCCCCAGGAAAATGTCACAATTATATGGAATTAAGATAATATTTCTAACTGCACACAGTGATGCTTGTTGTCTGCTGTTTTTATTTGAAATTGCAAATATTCTCAATAAGTTAAATGTGTAATATATTAGTGTTTTAAAGTTTTACACTGAAAAAATATTTACAGGTTACATCTTAATATAGAAATAAATTAATTATAATCACTTTTAATATACAGTGAACTTAGACAATTTTACCCAATAAATATATATTTTTTTCTTTTGTTCTGGTTGCATTTCAGTTATGTGAACTGAATAAATGTGTACAGACAATAAGTGCCTTTTTAAGGGAGTCTTGGAAACTGTTTTTTGAGGGGTTATGTCACATTTTGGGTTGTGGACCCAGTGTGAGAAAGAAAGCCAAGCAAAGAACCACAGTAGGTAAAAGAAACAAGAAAGCACCTATCTGTGAACTTGGTGGTGATTCTGTGATAGCAAAAACAGTATCCAATCTTCATATATTATACAGTGTCCACAAAATTATTAGAGCAGGGAAGGTCAATCCATTCTATTTAAACATGGAAGTAGATACAGTAGCTTCAGTTTCTGTTATTGGGGGAGCAGACATTTGACAAAATTCAAAATACTTTCATTTTCAAAGACTAGGCTGGTATCATATACAGGAAGTCAGATTTGGATATGTACTCATCCAGTTAGGGATTTCAAGACAGTTAATCCATATTGCTGTAGAAAGAAATTTACCAATACTTTTTTTTTTTTTTTTTACTTTGGTTAAAATTTGTTTTAACATATAAAATTATCTTGCTCAGCAATGTTTCTAGTACATACATATGAGGGTGGTTTACTACAATGTGCACCTGGGTATGGCAAGGGTCTTTGCTGTGAGCTGGTGGAACTAAGAAATGACTGAAGACATTCCATGGAAATAGTGATAGAGCACTGAGAGACTTGCAACATTTCGTCTTTGGAAAAGGAGCTGTAGGCTGGAAAAACAATTCATCACCCGCAAGAATACAGACACACTTGTGAACTCTTAAAACTGAAAAGGGAAGACTAGGCAGCTCCTAATTCTATATGGCAGCAGTACTCCATTTTTAGCCAGATCTGGTTGTTGTAAAGGTGGAGGATAGCAGGAAATGTCAAGTATTTACTGGAGCAGTACAGAGAACCAACCATTTCTCTTGTATCTTTTGCAATAGTTCATATCTAAGTTCCACTTGAGGTGTGGGTTGAGTTTGTCTCAGTAGGTGCTCAAGGCTTGGGGCTTTCCTGAAAGAACACCCGTTCATTGTGATGGGCAAAAATTCAGGGTTTGCTCGGAGATGATGGAATGTCATTAGTTTGTTTTTTCAAGGCACGTTCTATGAGACCAGCCAGTTTTTATACCACTGAGCTGTTAGAGCTCGGTCAGAGGAGAGATCAGCTGCCAGGCCCTGGTCATCTAGAGTTTGGGAGATACTGTTGTCACATCAGCATAGATATTCACGAATGATCAGAATATACTCTTTTTATATAATACATACATACATACATACATATATACATACATATATATATATATATATATATATATTGGTGGTATGAAACTTAATGACCGCCATAAATAGATTTTTTTGATTACCACTCATGATAACAATTAAAAGGGGGGAAAAAATATGAAAAACAAGCTTAGCTAAACTGGTTTCTTTGGTAATTACAAAGCCTGATAAAGGTTCTGGCATCATCACTCTTGATTGTGTAATACTTTTTTTTTTTTTTTTTTTTTTTGTACCTCATGAAATTTTGAAATCTAGCATTGCATGCTTGGTTTTCAGAGTTTCAATATATTATTGAGATCCATCAAAACTGTATATTTTTTGTGATATGTATAATTTCCTTTCTAACATTTCTGCCTAAACTCTGAAATTTTATTTACTATTTATTTTTTTTTTTTTCTCAATAGGAGTAGACAGGTTTACCTATTACGTCTCCTCAGTCTTTTGAACAGGAGTAGAAAGTCTTCTCATTCTGTGTAACTCCCAGTAGACCCTTGCATCTTAGTGGTATTATTGTTTTGCCTGGGGATAAATTGATTAAAAAAAAAAAAGTTAAAAAGACTGCTGTTCATACCTATCTGACAGAGAAAATCTTCAGAGGTCTTGTATGGCCTTGATTTATCAGATTAGTTGTTTGCTATCATATGGAAGACCAACACCTTATTAGTCAGTTTGATTCTTAGGCTTTCACACAAAGCTGGTCTTCAACTTTTTCATTAGATTTTCTGTCTGGAAACAGAAACTTTTAAGCTGGGGAAATATTTCTTCAATTGACCGACTCTTCTTAGGCATTAGGTGGTGGGAATATGTGATGAAGTCAATTTGCAGCATCTTTCTCTGACAAGTGACGTGTGATTTCAAAACCCAACTTCTGACTCTACTATTTGAAGGCCCAGAATCAGCCACCTTATATATTCAAATATTCCAGTATGGATGGATTAATGATAATTTTATTTATCAAAAACCCCAAATTTTTTTTCAAACATCTCCAAATTTGGCTTAGCTGTCATATTCGTACCTAACTATTACCTGAGCGTATAGCTTCTTGGTCAAGATATCATATCATTCAATCAAACTTTGTCAATATTGATTCTGTACTTGTCACATTCAAATTGAGGCTATTTACATGTTGGATGAACTGTTGTTGCATTGCATCATGTTTAAACTAATCCATTCCTATTGATTTCTACTCTTGTTTCTCTTTAATGTTGATAGCTTATCTAATACATGAGATTCCTACATCATTAGTTGTTCATTTATTTTGTTTATTGTCCGTATATTACACTGAACTCACTTTAGAAATGGAAAAGGTATTTGGTTATTTGTATAGTTGAAAATAGACTAAATTGTTCTTTGTCTGAAAAAGTAACAAACAAAATAGTGATTGATCATATGAAAGAAGAGAAAAACCAAAAATATTGAATTAATTGAATCTTCAGATTTCCATCTGAAATTTCCTCTACATTGAATACTTGTTATTTTTGACATTTAATTCTCTGCAGTGGAACATTGGTTATTGGCTGAAAACTAAAATGATACAAAAACCGAGACCATATTCCCCCCCACCCAAATAATGTAAATCCAATTAATCTGTTCTACACACCCAAAAATATTAACAAAAATCTATCTTATACAGAATCATATGGTTATTCTGTATAAGATACATTTTTTGTTTTACATGCAGAAAACAATAATAAATATAAATGTCAAATAAATAGAATAAATGAACATTTAACTTCACTTTAGCATTATTAAAGACTCTTGTTGGCATCCATAAGACAATGAGGGAGGAGAGGTGTTATTGTTTGTAAGGGGAATTCCCCCCTCCCTCCATGAAGACTTTATCTTTTTTTTTTTCTGGGGTTATTTCCATTTGTCCTTTTGTGCTACTAGAACCAACTCGAGATGGACTGGATCTCTTTCTGACTAAAAAACTGTCCAGAGTGTTTTTTTTTTTTTTTGTCTCCACTTTAAAATTTACCCGAAATGGGACAAGGAATTGTCATTAAACATATTTAAGACTCAACTTTCAACAGCTTTGTTAGAGTGATATTTTTCAACAAAACTTTACACCTCATGCCATTTTGAATAAATGTTCTTAATAACTGAAGAAGACACCAATTCTCCCTTCCTCCTCTGAAGCTATTTCCTCAGCTGCTGTTGGTTGCTGCTCCAGTTGAAGGAAGCGGTCACAGCTCTTCTTTGTGATACTCCACCAACCCCTCCACATCCTGCCCATGGACTTCAAATACAAACTTGGAACTTTCTTTGGGCCCATGATTGCTTATTTAACAGTAAAACTAAATAAAAAAACAATTTAAAATGAAAATTTTTAGAATAATGCCAGGGGAAAGGCTCACTTAGTGAGAGACAAAGATAACTTATAATTTGGTCTAGATTAAAAAATTATGGAGAATTATCAGTTGTCAGAATTTTAGGCTCCTTAACTTGTATACTTGTTAATTTTTTTTCTTTTTAATTGAAGAAGATTATTTCTAATAATGAGAAAAATTCAAGGATGTGTAACCTGTTTTATTTCTGTAATAACATGGTCTTCTTTTTTTGGCTTTGTTGCAGAGCATCTCAGCATGTAGAAGAGGTTGCCGATTATTTTATGTGTGCAAATTCAGCCGTAATCACCAACATCTTAATGACACATGTATTGAATGCATTAATGGTGAGTTCATGCATCTTAACTCTTCTGATTAAAAGCTTATAATTTATATTTCATTTAATAAAAGTTCTGAAATCTTTATGCTTCTTGTATTGGATTTGCTTTTTAAAAGTTTGTTTGATTCCTTCTTTTAGGCTATGCATCAGACACCAAACAAACATTAATTCAATGTACTTTATGCCAAGAGATAGTCTGGAAACATCTGTGATAATTCTTATGTAATTTTTAAAGTTTTTAACTTGACTTTTTTTTTTTTCTCTATCATTTGGCTATATATTAAATAAAACTAAAAAATTTTTAAATTGATTTTAAAAAATTTTTTTTCATTTGAAAATATTAGATTCTTTCAGCTTTTTCTTTAAATTGTTGCAATGTTTATTGAAATTGATTGAAGTAATCCGAAAAAATAAGTACAATAGTTCTGAATTCTTTATTTAAGCATTTCCTGTCTCAGATTTTGTTCACTTATTTGGAGGTATCGATAATGCAGGATTTCTTGAATTCCAAAACTGTAAATATGAACCGTTCAGCACAATCTTACAAAAGATTAGCAATACCTGTGAAAATTTCACTATTTTCCAATTTGAAATGCCTAATATTTATTGAAAAACTAAGTTCATTGCAAGTTCCATGATTACAAAATACCCATGGAAATTCCCATATTAACATAAAATCATCAGTCTATTATAATACCCAAGCAAAAAGGAAATCATTTCAATACATTAATAAATCAATTCCTCCCTATCAGTTTTTTGAGTTTTTTTGTGCAAGCATTAAAAATCAGGCTCTTTTCTCTTGCTCATGTACTATGTTCAGTTATCAGTTTTCTGAGGATTTACTCGTCCTTTTACAACCCTGACTGTAATACCAATTCAAAGTGAATCAAGGACAAAATTGTTGAGGAGGAAAAATTAAAATTACTCAATGAGGGATTTTAATTTTTTTCATCCTTATTTCACTATCTTTCTCTTTTTAGCCAAATGAGCAAAAAACAAAGAAATATTGATGAAAGTGTGTGTTTGTGTCTGATCTTTTTTTTTTCTTTCTTTTTTAAATGAGGACCTGCGATTGGGCTGTTAATTTTTCTGTCAATATGGCTTTCATAGCTGGATTTCAACACCTCCTTGTGAGATTTCTGTATCTGGCCACCTTTTATTATTGACCTAACATTTCCAGTCTCACTGTTCTTATCATACATACTTTCAAGAGTAAGTCTTTTTGCATTAGCATTTATCAGTAAAGAAATATATTCATATTTTGAAATGAATTGTTTTGTGAAATTAGAATTAATTACACTCAATGTTCTAAATTGATGTTTGGTTTGACTCGTGTTTTAATTTTGTTTTTACAGTTGTTTTTAGGTGTACTTTTCTGAACTACACAATAGTCTCTACTGATACAAGTGAAATTTATGTAAGCTTGGTTTCATCTCATACAAAACTGCAGCACCCAGTAAGGATTGAATTCACTTCAATAGTAAATAGTCTTTGAGAGTACTTTGCTAACAACACTTTAATTACAAGGCTTGAACATAATAGGTAAAAGGAGTGACTTGCACCTGATGAAGGCTGAAAGGCACAACAGTTGAAACGTTGTGATAACAACAAAGATGAGGACAATAGTCAGTGTAAATAATATGATTAATGTTTTTGCATGTACAAAAATTTGGTATGCATGAAAAAAATAAATAATTTTAACCCTGCAGAATAAAGAAGCTATTTAGTTATTGTCAAAGAAGTTTCCTAAGAAAACTTGTATTATTTGTCTATATTTCTGAGATGAGGTATTATGTACACTATTTACATTATTCAGACTATTGTCCTCATCTTTGTCGCCATATTTATTACAATGTTTTGGCCGTTGTACGCTCCGACCTTCTTCAGGTGCTTGGAATGTCGAGCTGAAACCTATATTTCACTCACTGGTGTAGACTGTTCTAGTGCCATGTGCCAAGGACACATGGCACAGTGGATAAAGGCGTTGGTTAGATCCAGTGACAGGACCCAAAGAGTGTGAGTTCAATACCCGGTTAAGACAGTTGAGAACTTTCAGAGGGAAAATTAACATGAGATAACTGATAACTGACATCCATTAAGCATGGAACTAGAACAGTCCGAATAATGTAAATAATTCTTGTATTGACCAGAAACTGTATTGCTTAAAAGCCAGATAATAGCATCAGCAAATTCTACATGTCAGTAGTCTTTAAAAATGAAAGAATTGTTTCTGGAAATCATTTTAAAATTTTGTTAGAAACAAAGGCACATTGTTCTGAATTGTTTAGAGTATATTCTTATTAAAAAAAAAACATCTAAATGTCAAGGGAATCAAATTTGTTACTTGTGCAACTGATCTTTAACTGATCAATTTAATCAATAGAATGAATAGCTTATCAACTGAGTTATAATAAACTCTTTTAAGAAAACCTCAGAATCAAGACCATCTTTCATTTTGAATAACTCTTTATTGTTTGCAGTAAACATCTGCTTAGTTATAAGGTATATATTGTTAGAGGCTTAGAAAAAAAAGTTTGTTGTTCATTATGTGAACAACCCTTATTTAGAGAAAAGCATTCTATCCAATCTCTTTATTCATTAGTGTCTCTAAAAAAAACAAAAAACTTATGTGCTTTGATCTTCAATCGAAATATACTGCCATTTTCAATTAACCTATCAAACATATCTGACTATATTGAAAAGAAACTATTAGCCTTTTATAGAATCATTCATTGTAAATTTCTCTTTGTACTTCTTCAAAACGAATTCTTTTATCCAGATAATTTTTATCAGCTTGTCCTTTCCAATGAAAGAAATTCATCAAAGTTATTAGTTTTCCTTTTTTTTTTTGTATGGCATCTGTGACATATAACAATGTTTTTTTTTTTTTTTTTTTTCAATGTAAGGTTTGCCGTTTTGGTAGATGCACAATGTGTATTTTTTTTTTTTTTTTATTGCTACATAAATTTTTTATAAAGCAAAAAAGAAAATGCACATTATTAAACTTTAAAATCTTTTCTTTTATTGAATAAACAATGCTATTATTGGTTGGTAGCACAAAGTTTTTTTGTTTAACATTTTGTCCTTTCATTTGAAATTTTATGTTTTGCTGATACTTTCTTAATATTCCAAATTCAGATCAAATCTCTCTTACAAATGGATATCAAAATAATAAAAAAAAATTAAGATTTGTATGATCATTCCAGATTTTACAAGTTTTCTAAGACACTCATTTTAAAAATAGAAACTGAAGCCACCAGAATGTTCATAATTATGTGGTGGAATGAAAAGCAAACCATTTGTTTTCAATATGAGCTTTCTTTCTTTCTTTCTTTCTTTCTTTTTTTTTTTTTTTTTTTTTTCTCCCTTTCTTTTAGGGCTTTTCATGCAAACATTGCCTATCACATTTTTACACAAATGTTTGATTTATTATAAATTATTCTTTTTACCATATACACAGCATTGTAGGTACTTTTACACAGATTACAAATTTCTTGGAAGCAAATAGTTTACATGTTAGATTTTTTTTTTTTTTTTTTTTTTTGTTTATTTCATTCATTTGCTTCAACATGGTTCTTTTCACTGAATCCCAAAGAAAATTTCAAAAATTTCTTTATCCTGTTGATGTCATACTTTTCTTTTAATTCTTGATAGTAATAGAATTTTAGAAATTTCTCTCACTCTCTAATTTTCATATGAATTTACTAAAACCAATTAATTTCCCTTAAATGATATTTTGCAAATTAATTACAAACACTGTAAGCATTGTCATTTCATCATCACAACACATTTGTATAGAACCACTTCCGAATGGATTTGATGTTGATTTACTGTTTAATCTTTCCACAAATTTAAAGTGGCTTCATGAGGTAATTTACTATTGAATCTTCAGGTTTATGATTTCATACAAAGAAATTCATCATTCCCTACTCTTGTACTGTAAAACCAAAACTCCAAATTTTTTTGGTTTCTTCATCTTTGTAAGAGATTTAAGAAAAGACATTGATACATAAAAGCCATCTTTGGCATAAAAACCTCTTTATGGTTATATAAGAATTGAAGCTCGGCTTTATCAGATGGAAAAAAATTCAAGAATAATCTTTGAATTCAGTAAGTTAATAAATAGTGAAATATATTAAGAGTAGGTATCACCATTTATTTGCTAAAAAATGATCATACATTGAAAAAATGTATTGATTTAAATACAACAATTTTACTTATTGGAAATATTGAATATAATTTACTAGCTTGAATTTAAAATTCAATAAGAGCTTCAAGAAAGATTTTTCATTTAAGATTCATTTTAAATAGATATTGCTAAGATTGTTTAGTTCTAAGTTCATTCAAAAAGATCTCTATTGATTGTTAGAGCTATCATAATCAGTTGTCATCTTTTTCAAATAAATTTCTTCAAAATTAGCAGATTTAACTTGAGTACATATCTAAATTACCATTAGGAACAAAATTTAAAATAGAAACTTCTTGTCAACATTTAATTCCAAACAGAATTCGCTCTCATTAAAGATATCAACTTATGGTAATTATTGTATGAAGGACAGTTGGTATTAGGTTTTCCACTTTGTTACATAAATGACTGTGTGAATGTGTCATGCTTTTTCAAGATTACTCTTAGAGGCTGTAGCCCAATATATACCATTTGGGAATTGGGTCAACTATGTAAGCAAATTAAAAATCATTCTAGGCTGGATCTGGACATGCAATCCTGAAATTTTGGATTCCCAAATTTTAATTACTTGCAATTGTTTTCAGTGATTTTTTTTTGTTTTTTTTTTTTGTTTCTCAGGTAAATAGAAAATACCAAGTGGGAAAGGTAATTTACCTTTCCCACTTGGTATTTTCTATTTACCTGAGAAACTGAGGGACAATGTGTATATTTGTGCACAAAAGATCATTGAATATCAAACACTGTTGCCTTGATTCAAACCTCCCTCCCTCCCCCTTGCTATTTCTATTCCTCCTTTGTGTTTCAGATATACCTGGCATTTTGTTTGCTTCTCCTCATTTCTGTTTTTTTCCTTTTTTTTTTTTTTTTCTCGGGTCATGATCAATGCAGCAGCAGGTGTCATTGTAGTGCAGACTTATTCTCTTGCGTTTAGCCAAACACTTTAACTTGTTTTGTTAAAGCTTATTTTGCAATATGTGAAGAGGAGAAGCATCTTCTGGAAGCAGGTTTTCAGTTGTTACTTCTATATGGAAAAATGGATTAGCTAATTTTTATCTTAAGGATTTTTCATTTAAAAATGGTTGAAATTAATAAGGCTATAAAAAATCTTTAAATATTATTTTAAGAGATTGAAAACAATTTTAGCAAACCCATTACAGCAAATTTTAAATTTTTTTTTTTTTTTTTTTGCAGAGATTTTAAAAATCTATTTAGTTATCGCAATGAGAATGGACTGACTGCATTCAGGTTAAATATCTTTGTCTAAAGACTAAGATGGTTAGCAAATTATTATTGAATAATATTGCTAGATTATTATCTTTTATGCTTTATTTCGGTTCCAGTCAAAATGTTTCATTTACAATGGTCAGAATATGTGAATGGTTAGATAATAAAAACTAGTCTGTTTATTCAAAGTCAAGGCAAATTAAACTTTATTTTACTTGACTACTTTGTTTTCATTAAGCTATGAAGCATGATTGTGGATTCAGGTGAGTTCTGTAATTTCCTTACACATTAAATCATCCTTGGAATCCAATTTGTTATACTGAAGTATATTTTTATAGACTACAAAACCAAGAACTGGTTTTGTATGACCGATTCTGCTGTTACTGAGCTGTACAGCATTATCAACCATCGATCAATGGCTCACTTTTGAGTACAGAAAAAAAAAAAAACTCGTCTATATTTTAGCTAAGAAACACTTCATAAGAACTGTAGCTCCCTCCCCCTCCCTGCTTGTATGGAACCTTCATTAGTGAGTTTTAGTTTAAAAGTTTCTTCAGAAAGTCAGAAATTTTTGTATTCATTTAATATTCTAAATCTATTAATGCCATTGCTTTAAAGATTTACATCAATTTTTAGTCTGATACTGGGTGTTCAATTTTAATAGCTAATTGCATTTTGTTTGAAAACTTTGTAAAACCACATTGTCAATAAAAAAAATGAAAGATGTTACTTGTCAATAAAAAATTGTTTATCTCAAAATATTTATGCAATTTAATTTTGTTAATTATCTGAGTAATGTGTTAATATTTCTTAAAATCTAATGAAACTCATATCCTTTAAATAGCACCATGTGAATGATTTTTGCTTTCAACAATAGTACAAGGATGTATTTCTATAAATGCTTATAACTAAGGAAGAGTTGAACATTTTGCAGGCTGATGATTCCCAAAATTTGAACAAAAAATGATTTTCTTTTTCTGTTGTCCATTTTTGTAGAAATCCTATTTACCAAAACATTTTAAACATTAAATCTCACTAACATTTTGTCAATTCTTAACTTTGTCATACACTTCAACTATTCATTCATCTTCTTTACAAAAAGTCATCCTGAAGACACAGACTAAATTCTTGCCTTTTATGTAAATGTTTGTTTATATTGATATTAATCAAATTTTGTATTAAAAAAATACATGGCTTTTATATTTGCAAATAATGGATTTGGGGAAAATCTCTGCTAATATTTATTGTGATGCAAATCAGATTGTTTTCTTTTTATCTCCATAAATCATTGTAGGTGAAATGATGCATGTGCTGAAAACTTATTTGTTTTTTTTTTTCCCTCCTTGCAGCCTGTCATGAAGCCTATACAAACAATACAGCACAGAATGCTGCATGCAGTCATGGATGCAGTAGTGCATTGCCAGTTGCTGCCAAACGAGAAGAAGAGGTTTGTAACTATAGTTGCTATTAACCACTCAGTTCATAGTAAATCATGTGATTTTTGCTTAAAATTTGTATAAAATGAGGATATTTAACTACCAAGAGTAGAAACAAACTCCTTGCACAAAACGTTTCTTGAATTTTAATGAAATGCTTGAATTTATTGAAGTATTTCATTAAAAGTAAACTTGATGACCTTAATGTCAGGTTTGTGAACAGAATGATAAGGTTTTATGCATTTGATGAAATTCTACACTTCTCTTCTATCTTTAGTGTGAACATTTTATATTTTGCCTATTAAAATAACAGCAAGTCATTAATTATCAATTTCTGATATATGAAATTACTTTGAAAAAATAATTTGTTTTAAACTTTTTCTGTTGTATCACTTTAAAATTATTTTCTTAATTGTTATTGATTTCAGAATGAAAATTCTGAGCCGAGCATTCATTTGCTGTATCCATTCCTTTATGTCCATGGCCTCTACAGTAACATGATAGACAAAGTCTATAAACAAATAAGTGTCAGTTGGTCATTCTACATGCAAGGAGATAATGGAAACCTGGTGGTTATGCGCTCTAAGCCAAAGGTCTATGTAGACTATCGCACTTACAATGGGGATGGTGAGTTTGGCTCTAAATTCTTTCTTCCTCTCCTTAGAATATCTATTAATTTTAAATCTTTGATAATTATATTTTAACAAATATCTTTATAATTTCACAATAACACCAAACTGCTTAGGAAATCATTGACTGCAAAGAGAATTGATTTCTGTAAAGATGTCACAGCTTGTTAATACAGAATGTACATTAAACCAATTTATGAATGTTGCTCTGGTTTCCACCATATGTTGGTCTGAAGTTGGGGCAACATTTTTATTCATTACGCATTTTCAGCCATTAATTAACATTTTTTTTTTTTTTTTTTTTTTTTTTTTTTTTCATTAACAATTTTGTAAGTTATTTTTTTTTCTTGTCTTTCTTTGTATTTTTCAGAATATCGTACATCCAATTATTTAGAGACCAACATTGAATCTGGCAATAATGTGGCCACTCCACAGCTTAGAAACTCTCAGCTTCACCCTGGTAACAGCCAAGGATCTGATGATGAAGTTAACCTTTCTCTTCATGACTTAGATGGCCAGAGCGCTGATTGGTTGGCTTGTATCTCGCAGAAGATTGGGATGCCTAAGATGCTTCTTACTGCTCTTGTGTTGCTGTGTGCAGTTGTTATGATCTGGCTTTGCCTTACTGCAGCAGTCACTGCTCCTGAACACAGAGTTTCTTCAGCACCACAGGTAAGCAATTATGCCACAGGTATTTTTATTAAATATTTTTAGTAGTGGTGATGTGTAGAAATTGTCCGTGAGTTACAATGGAATTCCAGTCAGCTTGTCTTTAGTCATTCCTAATCTAAGCCGAATACTTCCTGTAGTGAGTTGTAATAGCAGTGGCATTTAATATCAGTGTCTTTTAAAAAGGGTTGGAAAATGAATGCTAATAAAAAGGTTAATACCAATTCCCTTGTGACTTTTTTCAATTTATTGTAATGAAGAAATAATGTAAAGACTGGAAAATGGAAATTTCCTCTGACAATCTCTGTTTCTATTTGCTGGACATCATTTTTATACCATTTTCTATTCTTTCATCCTTTTTGAGAGCAGATTATACTCATCAACTAAGAATGTTAAAAGATTCTGATACTTTTAATGAAACGTGTCACCATGTTATCTAAATTACGAGAAAGTGCCAGTACCTACTGATGTCCTTCATGCTTTAAAAGCTGATAGACGTACAAGTGTTAAAAAGTTTTATTTACATGATATATAGTTATGTGTGTAGTGTGTGATTTTACATCAGGAAATACTATATGATTTTGATTGAATTTAATGTCAATAAGGAAACTTTGTTTTATAAGGAGATGATCTGTGGTGACCCCAATATCTATCTATCTATCTATCTCTCACTCTCACTCACTCACTCTCTCTCTCTCACCCCCCCCCCAAAGTAGGCTTTGCACTCGGTGTCACACCAGAGCAACAGAAGAGCCAAAGAAATCAACCCAACTGAACTTAGGATATACAAGCACAAGACATCTGGATGACAAATTATATAAATGCCTCACTGGGGTTAGTCTCTCACATTTTTGTTTTTAAAAAAAAAAAAAAAAAAGCAAAGTTAAACAACTGTCATTTTTTTTTTTTTTCTTTCTCGGATAATCAGATGGCTCTCTTAACAATGGCTGCAAGATCCTTTTTGGCCCAAGTTCCTAGTTTTTTTTCTTTTTCTGTTGTCATTATTGACAAAACAAAAACTATGTTTGCGAAAAACACTCTGACAAATTAGCTTCCTCACACTAAAACACTGGTTACATTTTTTCCAACTGTCTTGTTTGAATAAAAGTTAATTTTACTGAGTTTTTCATTTTTTCTCTTTTTTTCTTTCAGAAGCTGAGTATCTACGGTGATCTTGATTACCTGATTGACTTTGAGCAAAAAGGTGTGAAGAAGTTTCTTCCTCAGGACACCTTTGTTGCTGCTCCTCTTCCTGTTAAGATTAAGGTTGACAGAATCTGAGAGCTTTTTTCTTTTATTTGTTTTTTTTTTTTTTTTACTCTTTCGACACATGACAGCCAGTAAATATTAAGACTTATATGTGCAGTTAAACCTTTTTCTCTGACAATTTTCTCCTACTTCTTTTTCTTCTGCATGTATGGCTGTCTTCAAAAAAAAAAGAAAAAGACGTCTTCATTTCTTGCTATTCCTCCCTCCCTCTTTTTTTTTTTTTTTTTTTTTTCTTTCTTTCCTTATTTTCCTTTCAATTGGGCGACTTTTTTCTTTTCTTTTTTTCTTACTCTGGTTTGACTGATTGCAGAGCGGGATGGAAGGTTGTGTAATGTAGTTTTGGTCTTTCATCATTTGTCTTCCTCACTCTCCTCACACAAACTCCTGTCCACTCATAACAGTCAAATGTTGACTTTGAAAAAGTAAATAGATATTCAATTTGTTTCTCTTTCCTTAAATAAAAAAGCAACAATAAAGGCAGTCAATTGTTTTAATATCCCCACCCTTTATATTCACTAATGATGGCCACCAGCTTTCCTTTGCTGCTTTGCACACACACAAATTTTTGTTAATTCATTCTGGCATGGTCCTCTTTTTCAAAACTTGCAGTTTTCTTTAACTCTAATTCTGCCTTTTTCCTGTGATTATTAGAAGCTTACAAATATGAAATCCTTGTCATTGAAATGATATGGGAGAGAGGAATATAGTTTTTACACATGGAACAAAAAGAAAACAAATTCTTTTTTGCAAATTGTTGGCTGCTATCAGAACAATGATTGTCCCTCTTAAGTAAACAAAACCTTAGGAGACCTTTTGATTACATAAAATTCAGGGCTATGTAAGCTCCTGACTTTAGCTTTTTTGTTTTATTTTTTTTCCCTGGTCTGTCGCTGATAATGAGTTCTAACAGGAGGAAACTAACTGTGCCCCATTCATCTAGTAAGCATAATCCACTGAAAATGACAAATTGCTTTAAACTAAAGTACACCTTTTTAGGCTCTTGTGCAAGCTATTTCCATTTAATCTAGAACTGATACCTGAAATTTTAAAGACTCAAAGCTCTACAGATATAACCCACAGGTAAATAACTTATTTATTTTCCTTTTCAAGATTAAGTTAGTATTCCGTGATGTACATGCCATCTGGTTTAATGAAAAAAAATAACAAAACAAATTAATCAATTTTTCAGTTTAGTTTTAATATTTAAGTTTTTTGTTCTTTGTGATGACTCATGCCATTTTTGAGGAAATTTAAATATTTTGTCAGAATAACAAAAATCATTCCAGTAATGGCAACTGGCAACTTTACTCTTTTAAACAACAAAAAAAAAAATGTTTTTAGTACAACGGCAGAGAAATGTGGCTGGGCATCTTTTGGTGATATTCATGAAATAAAAAAAAAAAAAAAAACACCATTTTTCTTCTGTCCTTATTCCTCTCCTTACCAGATTGGGTTTCAATGAGCTTTCTGCAATTCAGGCCCAGCACTATTTTAATCTTTAATTTAAATGGACATATTTCGTTCTTGTTTTTATCAGGTTCTATAAATGTTTATTAAACACCTTTTTATTAATGCAAAAAAAAAAAAAAAAAGTGACTCTCCTTACAAAAATCCTTCATTGTTGTTTCCTTTTATTGTCAAAGGATGATTGGTACACATTTTGTATTGCTAAGCTACCTGGAGTTATCTCCCTTACATCTTGTTAAACACTTGCAGATCTTTGGACGGTTTGTGTGGCACCATCATCCACTTCATTCTGTTTCCATTCTGTGCCTGTCAGAAGAAACCCACTTTACCAACTTCCTGCCTGATTCTGTAATTTTGGGGAAAAACAAAATGTTTAAAAACAAAAAAATGATAATATTAATAAAAGAAAATTAAACACCAGGGAATATTTTAATTTAATTTCTTTTTAAATTTAAAAAAAAAAGAAAATTCTTTTGGTTTATTTTGCCTTCTTGGCTGGGTTTTAAATGGTCTGAGTGATTATATTTCTTAATAATATTAATAATAATATGTTGAAAAGATTTTTTTTTTTTTCTCATTGGAATTTTTTCCAAATCACTTCTCACAATACCATGGTGTATATGATTGTAACTTATCATTCAGTGTTTTCTAATAACTGAAATTGTATGTATCTTGTCACCAAATCCTGCTAGCCACAGTTAGTGTCAATCTACTCCCCCTCCCATCACTTGTATAATATCTTCAGTGGCACTTTCTGTGCAGCAATGCTGTCGACTTCAGTTTGGTGGCGCTTGTAATTTCTAAATATCTTAGATAAATAAAAAAAAATTCTTTTATGGATTCAGTCTTTGTCCTTTTCAATTTATTAATTATTACAATTTCTCTTTTTTTTTTTTTTTTTTTTTCTTATACTGCATTGATGCAGATAAGTGCTAAAGAACCTCTTTTGTGGCCAGTTTTTCTTGTGAAAATGCATTGTTCTTTCACAGACTTACAGAGTTTGTGTTTTTTTTTTTTTTTTTTTCTACACACAAGCCACCAATCTGCCTCTGGGAGGCATGCCATTAGCATTTACTGCTGTTGGCCCACCGGCGTGTTTTTCTCGGCAGTGTTACCAGTGGCAGACTGCTAGAGGAACCAATCCTGTGGCTGCCACAAGAGGACTGCTGGGGTTGTCATTGGTAAGCCATGAGCGGCTTGTGTGTAGGGTTGTTTTCTTTTCCATATTTTCTCATAATTACAGAAAAACTGATCTGTGCTCCAATCTAAGACAAATTAATGTTTTCCAAATGAAACCCTTTAATTGAAGTAGGCAGCCTTCAAAGTTGGTTGAATGCATTTCACAGTTAAAGGTCTTTGTTTGTTTAAGATTTGACATTACCATTTTAAAAAGAAAGACCATCTTCCCATCTCTTTGAATTAATTTGAATTAGAACAAGTATAAAAAAACACAAAAACATTTCTTTTTAAAAACATCTTTAATACTTGCAAATTAAAACCTGTTAATACATAATGCACTTCATGAGTAAAGAATAGTAAATGTTTTTATTTTTTAATGCGCTTTCCTAATAAACAAAATGGTGAGAATATCACACAGGCTTTTTTCTTGAATACATTAATTTAAGTTACAGCATTGTATAAAAATGATGAGATTTTGTTTCAAAATGAGCTTGTCTCAAACTAGATGTATTATATAAATCAAATTTAATTTTCTAGAGAAAGTTATCAACAGTGCTTACACTATTTATATTCAGACTATTGTCCTCATCTTTGTCATTATCACAATATTTTGGCCTTCATCAGATGTATATTGATTTGGATAACCCACAGGGAATTCTGAATTGAACCCCTTATTTAATATAACCTTGTACCTCTGTCAATGTCTAGGGATATCATCTAGTTATTCATCCAGAATAATTACCTGAGGAAAAATGCATGAATCTCAAATTTTCAAATCTTGTACTAAGATGTCAATTAGGTTAAATCCCCATTTGAAATGAATGGAAGTGGTGGTTAATGGCTTGGAATGAGAAATTGGAGAATCAAGTTCAAATTCCATTTGAATTAAGGTTACATTCACTTACATGCAACTACCCTTGGGAAAGGTGTATATCACTTAACTTAATAATTGCTACAATGACAAAATATTGTTGAAGAAAGACACACACATGATTTCCATTGTTTGTTTTTTTGTTTTTTTTCAATGTGTGTGTGTACACAGTTCAAGCTTTAAAATAAAAAAAAAAAAGAGCTTTAAACTCATAGAGCAGAAAAATGGATTTTCTTTTCCTTAAAGAATCTTTGAAATTTCAGAATGGTCTCTTGAGTAAATTTTATAAATTTTTACTCAAACTGTTGGAACAATGTACAACAAACCTCATTTCTCTGACAAATTATAAGAGTTCACTACATACATTTGATTTCAAGAGTGTGTTTTTTTTTTGTTTTTTTTTAAATTAATACATTATGATGATTTATTTGTAGTAAATTTTTATTATTACTTTCACCCAATTTACTGTTTTTTGCATTTTTATCCACTATGCAGTCAGCAGCCTTTCAAGCAGAATTCTGTGCATTCCCAATTACATGGTGACCACAGATATTTCTCCTTGGAGAACTCAACTGTCCTACACTTAATTTACTTGTCAGTATTAAAACTGTCCACTTTTTGGAGCCCCAATGATCACATCATGAAATTGATGATTTTACTGATTCAAAAATAATCCGTAATCCTTACAAAAAGAAAAAAAACAAACTTGAACTGAGAGTAATGTTAGAGATTCTTCAGTAGAAGTTATACAAAAAGTAGAAATAAATACATACAAAAAGATATGTTTGACTATACAGAAATCAATTAAAAAAAAAAACCTCAGTCAGATTGAAAATGCATTATTAAAAATATATTTGACTAAAAAAAAAAAAAAAAAAAACACATAATTTCTAACGATTTCTTTTAACAGTTTTACTCACTCATTATGGCTAATTGTTGTGGTGGTTTTTATTACCACTACTACTATTAGTATTGTAGTAGTGTGACTTTTTAAAAAGTACTCTTAAGAAAACACAGGAGAAACAATTACTTGAAATCTCCAAAGTTTTTCTATCAATTAAACTTATTTCCGTGCAAATCTTTTTTTATGATTTTTATCATTCTTTTGCTGTTCTTATGTCTCACTGTCTTTTACTAAAAGGTTAGTGTTACTCCAAGAGTAAATAAACATCAAAATGTACAAAATTAAATTTCAATGAGTGACTTTCACATATGAAAACTAAAATTTAAAAAGAGTTATGTACTCTGATGAAAGTGTTAAGATTTAAATATAAAATGTTAAATTTTACTCAGACTTCATTAAATGCAGCTTAAAATCACTTTGTTTTCCAGAATCTAAAGATTAGCATTTCTGATATGACAGTCAGCAAATACAATTTACAAGCACTACTCTTTCACACACACACAACACACATATATATGACTTACGGTTTTCAGAAGGTTTCTTTCACTAGTTTCAAATCCAGTTTTCTTTTTGGTTAACCTGATAGACTGTTAAGCTAGTGGAAGTGACTATTATAATTCTGTGTGTGTGGAAAAAAAACAATTGAGTAAAAAAAGCCTGAAGCTTTACAATCTTCAGGCCTTATTTCCTGCATTGATTATTTTATTAATGAGTGGTTTTCGATCAGAAGGTTTTGTAGCAAAATATGTTTTCTGTTCCTCGGAGTATTTTTTTTTCACTGAGATGATATCACGGAATTTCCAGTCTTTGTAGTTTTCATTAAGTTGAGTTAATAAGTCAATTTGTCTGTCTTCATTTGGTACACAATTGACAGGTTCAATGTAAGGCAAATCAGGAACTTGCAAGTTTTTCAGGATGATTACTGATCGCAAAGCAAACCAGCCTCCATATCTTGGGTGGATGCAGATGCCAAAAATGTTCTGTGAAATGCAAAATACAAGCATTGCAAATAGAGGAAATTTCAAAGATATGTCTTTCTTACTAAAATGATGTTTAAAGACATTGCATAGATAGAAAAACAATGACTAATTCTCCTCAGACAATTTACTCTTCTGTCAGATCATCTAATGCCATCTTGGTCAGAGTGCCAAATTAACAGGTGTATGCTTTATATGATTTTATTTTTGTTTTTATGTATCCAACCATTTTGAATATCTCAAGGACTAGCCAGAGAAGACCTTACTACATGTGTGTGGGAACAGACACTCTCCCACAGTGTTACTCAAGTGACAGACACCAGGAGCAAAATGTGTCATTATTAATGGATGTTAATATGTCACATCAGGTTGACTCAGATAATGAGTGCACTATAGAAGAGAGATTTATTCTCCATTTGCATTTCCTCCATTATTGGCATTATTATATCTCCATCATATAATAACGCCTTCTTCATGAATAGAATGACTGAAAGGAAAAGGAATGACACAAACACTTTGTTCTCAAAGTTTTATGCTGCTATGCCCAAAATTATATGTCCCATGCATAGAAACTAAAACATGTCTACACCACAAGCTGAGTGATAAGAGAATGAAAAGATAGGGTCTTACATATAATATGGAGATTCTTCTGTGTTTCTGGATAAATCATATTTAGGATTCCAGATTTGAGAGGGCCGGATTTATCTGCTATGTCAATATTGAGGTCATATTTTTCAAGTGGGAAACTGAGCCCTAAATTCTCACAAATTGAAGGCCGTGAGCTCTGTTTTTCTAATTTCTTCTTATATTTAGATAAGATATATTCCCAAACCAAAATGATGGGTTTGTAAGCTGTACCATGTGGGAGCTGGCTGTAGGAGACAGATTTAGCCTCAGCCCAGATCAAGGGACACAGGTTAACAAAGCATCTGCTCGGTTTGATTCCTGGAAGCTGACTAACTGCTCACTTTTATCGCTAATCAGCCGTCACATGACCCACATAACTTCATCTGAGCCAAAGGGAGATAATAGCCGTTTGTATCATTATATTAACAATGACTAAATAATTTAATTTTTTTTGACAAAACATTGCCCCCCACCCCCCGCCTCAAACTACAGATTTGATTATCTATAACTATTTTGTTTTCCCAAAGCTGTAATTTCTGTTGAACCTCGTCCAGGCTGTTGTTGATCCTCCACCCACCAAAAAAAAACATTTACATAATTTTTCTTTTTCTTTTTTTTTTTCAAAACCCAGTTCAGTATAATCATTAAATTGACTTAACTTTATTTTTCTAAATTTTTAATTACAGAATTTCAATTTTTCTGTTGGTGGACAGGAATCATTACATAATTGAAATTAAATTTAAATGACAAAAAAATGAAAAACCTAAAATCTACTTAATTGTAAGTAATTTGTTTTTAACAATTAAATTCTATTTTCCTACAATTAAAACCGAAATTAAAAATTCAAAGGAGATATTTAAATGATTGCTTTTTGTTTTAAAATTTGATTAAAATGTTCATAATCCTGTCTATAATTTGTACTATTTCTACTTGAAATATTGTCTTCATCTTTGTTGTTGATATCAAAACATTTTGACCGTTGTGCTCTTTGGCCTTCATGATTTTCTAGTCAATCAGATCACAACATCAGAGATTTAATTTTTTTTTTTTTTTTTTTTTTTCATTGTTCGGTCAAAATCATTTTACAAATAACACTTCTATTATGCATAGTGATTTCATTTTTTGATCTAAAAAATCATCAAATCCGTTGAATTTTTTGTAGCATTTCATTTCTGGTGATGCAAATTGTTGATAGTTGAGTTTAAAATCTTTTTTTCTGAGGATAATCGTAATTGGGATTTCAAATTAAAATTAAAGTGACTCTGTCTATTTGTCTCAGATGAAGAAACAGGCATTGGAATAGAAACTTGAGGCATTGTGTTAAACTTCACCTAAACCCAAAGAATGTATCTATGGGTGGGGTAGCAGTCATCAGCAAAGAAAATGGCTCTGTTAAGGCAAGTTCAAATGCCAGCTGATGCTATTGTTCTCATTTTTTCCCTGCTCCAGCTATGGGCTGAGCTCTCTAGACTTGAGGGGGAACCAGAAACTCTGAATTCCAAAACCATGGAGGAGGTAACAGGAAACCACTCTACTATATTTGTCAACAACACCTGGCAATTCACAGATAATGCGTACCTGTGGAGGGCAATAACAACCTGTAACTGAAATGAATATAGTTATTTTAAAAAAAAAATAAAATTTTTTTTTAGAGAGGACAGAATTAGTTCAGTTTTTTTTTTAATCAATTTATCAAGTCATTGGGAAAAAAAAAATTCCTGCACCAATCATATAAATTTTGATAAGAAAGTTGACTTGCCTTTTCCTCACCCCATGGATCATTGGTGATATGTTTCTTTTGGTAGTAATAAGCAGCTCCAGAAATATGGGCTGCAACTTGCATAATAATCCTGCATTGTCTGTCACCAATAGTTTCATAATCATATATTATGTCAATGTCAGGAATAACCTGCATAAATAAAAAAAGGGATTTAAAAAGTAAAAGAATTAAAAACACTTTTCATTCTGTATGAAAAGAAATTAAAATATTTCAATTCATTATTTTAGTTTATTTCCTATTTTTTTTTTTTTTTTTTTTTTGTTACACATTATTTCCATTACTACTCATTGGTATTTCTTGGATCTGTTGAATTTCAAATGCTCAACTTTGATCTGAGAGTTGTGGTACAGGCACTTCATTTCTTGGATCTGTTATTGTCCATTGTCTTTTCATGTAAAATGCTTTCTTGCACAACATAAGAAATGAACCTGTCCCTTCATTTTCAGAATGTGTTCTTGCTCCACCAAGACACAAAGTTAATTCTCAAGATTTTTCTCCCAAAAGTAGTTGGCAGAACGTAAAAACAAAATCCTCTTCATTCTGAAAAAGACACCCATTGTAGTTTTAATATGTATTCACTCTAACATTCAGAAACAAAGTTTACTTTTTGTTCAATTTAAATAAGATTTCTCACTGTTAAGTTTTTGTTTCCTTAATGCTTAAAATGAAGTGGATTCAATTCTCTATGAAAAGGTGCTGAAAAGTTCTCAGCCTATCCAAGAAGGAATGCCCAAAATATTCTCATGTTTGGTCATTTGATTAGATTCTGGAAAGTGAATTGTCCAAGTATTTTTTTTTTCTTTTCAGTACTCACTCATACAAGATGCGCACAAAATTGTGTGACATGCTTGAGAGTGATGGTATTGTCATAGTTTTGTGTCCATGATTTAAAAATAAATTGACATTTTAGCCACAAGTGGATCACTTGAAAAGCCAAGTTGTCTTTTATATCTGGACATCAAATATATATTTTTATTCCTAAACTTAGCTTTTAATTTTGTGCTCATTGTTGTTTACTAAGTTAACATCAAGTAAAAAGACATGTTTCAAAGCACATAATCACCAAATCAAATAAAAGAAGAAAAAAGAGAAAAAGTTCAGAAATCCCCACCACACACAATAATTAAAAAATCATAGGAAATGGATATCCTATGATATTTCTTTTCCTATGATATTTTTAACTTGGTGTAAACTTGGTTTTTGTATTTCAATTTATAATCAATTTAGAAACGGCTTTATTTTGCAGTGCAACCAAAACTGACAGCCCATTACCTGATTAACTTTTTGCATGTAATATTTTATACACTCATCAATTCCATCATTTGAACCAGTGTAGGAGCCACTCTGGAGAAATGGCTTGAAGGCAAGATCAAACATGTCTGGGGTACTGAGGACTACAATTGCGACTGTATCAGGATCGTAGGGTAAATGGTATTTCTCTTCAACAACATTGTTGTACCATTCCACCTTAAAAGAAATGAAAGAAATTTAAAAACAAAAGAAAAAAGAAAATTTTCTAGTCTTGAAAACTGACAATTCTGGTTTAAATTCTATTGTTTTGTTTTTCAAATGAACATCTCTCTCTCTCATGCATATCAATTACCAGTCTCTCTCTCTCTCTCATGCATATCAATTACCAGTTTTTCTTTCTCATACCAATACGACTCATTCATAGTAAGAGGAAATCTTTTCTTAAATTGAACATGAAGTAGAAAAATAAAAAACGTATTCCATTTTACAAATGTAATAATTTTTCTTTTTATAAACAAAAATTACTTTCTGAACATTTTATAACTGATAGATCAAAAACTAATCAGTCTAATCAATATTCATTCAATAATCTAATTTGGTGAATTTTCCTCAACCTATTTTTAAGAATTACAGAAAGTAACATAAATTAATGAAGATAAATTGGAGCATTTTCATCAAGTTGAGTCAATTCTAAAAATGTCATAAATAAAACAAAGAAATAACTTTCTAGATGCAGTGCACCAAAGTCGATAGTGACATGTTTTTTGGGAAAAATACAAACACAAGACAGAATCATTTTTTTTTTTTTTTTCAGTTAAAAACTCTGCAACGTTTTTAGTCTAATTTCATTGTAAACAAAATTCCTCTCCAGCATCATTGATTGCAGCACAGTGATTTATTATTTAAATTTCTCATAAAGTCAAGGAATAAACAAATGCTTCTAAAATCTGTAACAGCTTTTTTTTTTTAGTTCTCTAATTTGATCCCAAAATAACTGAACAAATTAATTTTGCCTTTTCTTGCTAAGTAGACATGGTTAGTGATGAAATTTTAGGAAACACGTCATCTGTTCTTGCCTTCAAAAACAAATAACACCAACTAATGTTGCCGAATATTAAATGGAGCACAATTTCACCTTTAGATAAGTACTTAATGTCGACCAATGGAAAGAGAAATTTATTGTTTTGTACTTTAAGTGTATTTAGGCAAGTATCAGTCACACTATAAGAAAATACATAGAATTACTTTAACCAATAAACCACTTAAAGAAATCTTTGTTTATAAAAAAGAAAAGTTGTTACATCTACACTTGCTTAAACATTAATAAATTATATAATATATATCCATTAATATATATGAGATACACACACACACACACAAGGATGCTGAAAAGTTCTCAGCCCAACTCCCTTTGGAAAAGCAATATTTTAATGACCAATAAGGGAAAGAGGTCAGGCTAACAATAACAACCCAAATAAGGAAAATTGAATGTTGGCAGCCCAACAACTCCCCCCTCCCCCCGGCTATACTGTCATTCCAGCTTTGTATAGACTTTTTAAATAATAGAAATTGGCACACTAAGAAAACTTGATTTTAGGGTAGGCCTTGATAAATGTACAGAGAACATATTGCAATATGACAATATCTGTCTATATTTCTGAGATGAGGTATTATGTACATTATTTACATTATTCGGACTATTGTCCTCATCTTTGTCGCCATATTTATTACAACGTTTCGGCCTTCTTGAGGTGGTTGGAATTTCGAACTGAACCCTTTATTTCGCTCACGTGCCATGTTTAATGGATGTCAGTTATCAGTTATCTCCTGTTAATTTCCCCTTTGAAAGTTCTCCACTGCCTTAACCAGGCATTGAACTCACATCCTGTTACTGGATCTAACCAAAACCTTTATCCACTGTGCCATGTGTCCTTGCGTGTGAATTTCTGGGTATTATAAACCTAATGTCTTCAGCAACCATTTTTACCAGTGCTCATATTGCAATTTTGCTGTTATCATTGCATTTTTTTTTTACCATAGCTCATATTGCAACTTTGTTGTTTTTAATCGCTTTTCTCTGGCAGTCTTTATTACTGGTTCCCATATTGTATTTATTTCTATGCTTGCCAAGGCTCTGTGTGCCACCCTCTGAGTCGCTTCCTTGACCCATTGATCGGAAAGTCTCCTTCATATGTCCGAAACTCTGCCCACTTTGTGGAAATAATCAAAGATGCTCCCATCCTATCCAACCAGATGGTGAGCTTGGCTGTGGTGAGTTTGTTCACCAAGGTACCCATGGAGGAGGCACTCTCACTAGTCAGAAACAGATTGGCCTTTGACTCATCACTAGAAGAACGGACCAGTCTTCCAATAGATAATCTGATGGAGATGTTGACTTTCTGTATACAAACAACACACTTCAGAATGGGATCACACATATATCGACAGGATGAGGGCTTAGCAATGGGCTCACCATTATCACCAGCAATGGTGAATATATACATGGAATACTTTGAGGAAATGGCATTAGAATCTATATCTCTAAAGCCAACTATATGGTTAAGGTACGTAGATGACACCTTCATACTCTGGCCACACCAGGAAGAGGTTCAGGTTCTACTGGACCAGTGTGAACTCAATAAGACCTTTGATACAGTTCACAATGGAGAAAGAGAGTAACAACACACTCCCATTCCTGGATGTTCTAATATCTCGAACAGAGCATGGGTTCAAGACATCCGTATACCATAAACCAACATTCACTGGACAGTACCTCAATTTCAACTCCCACCATCCATACAGCATAAAGAAAGGGATCGTCCGCTGCTTACAACACCGAGCAAAAGTCATAAGTGGCAACACAGAGACATTAGATAAAGAATTAGTCAGTATAAGTAGTACCCTACAATGTAACAACTACCCTGACATGGCAGCAGCACCACAAAACTGGGATAAGCGGGTACAAGAGGAGGAGGACAACAACACTCAGAAAACAGTCTGCCTGCCTTATGTGAAGGGGTTATCAGAGAAAATACAAAGGATCTGCGGTCCATATAACATCAGGACAACCTTCAAAAGCTTGACGACACTTCTCAGATATCTCTCCTGAGTAAGACTCCCCATAGAGGAGAACATAACTAAAGACTGTGTGTACGCTATCCCGTGCAGCTGCAGAAAGAAATATAAAGGAGAGACGGGCCGCTCCCTCAAGGTAAAGCTTCAAGAACACCAGAAAGCTGTAACATGAGGGGAAGTGGAAAAATCAGGCGTGGCTGACCACATATGGAGATAAAAAGGAGATCACCGCCCCCTGTGGGATCATGTTGAAATCATAGACAAGGAACACCATTGGAAAATTCGTAAACTTAAGCAATCAGCACATATGCTAGGCCACAAAAATCTCCTGAGCTGACCAAGCATAGAAATAAATACAATATGGGAACCAGTAATAAGAAGTGCCAGAGAAAAGTGATAATAACAACGAAGTTGCAATATGAGCTCTAGTAAAAAAAGATGCAATGATAATAGCAAAATTGCAATAGGAGCACTGGTAAAAATGGTTGCTGAAGACATTAGGTTATAATACCCAGAAATTCATACACAAATGTCCTTAAGGACACATGGCACAGTGGATAAAGGCATTGGTCAGACAGGACATAAAGAGTGTGAGTTCAATACCCGTTTAAGGCAGTGGAGAACTTTCAGGAGATAACTGATAACTGACATCCATTAAACATGGCACGTGGAACTAGAACAGTCTACCTCAGTTAGTGAAATAAAGGGTTCAGTTCGACATTCCGACCGCCTGAAGAAGGCTGGAGCATACAACGGACAATAGTCCGAATAATGTACATAATGTGCAATATGACAGTAAAGAATTTCATTGCTTAACAACAAATTTCAAGCAGATGAATAAAGAAACAATTTCATGTTTATTACTGTTTATTAAATTTATAAGGTTACTTATGTACATGTTAATTTTAAAAATAAATTTTATATAATTATTAAACTTAGCATTGTAAAATGTATGACTAAATTTTGAAAAGAGGGCAGGAAGACTGCGTTGTGCCAGTCTATCAAGAAAGGGAGATGTGCCTGCTTTGTGAATAAGAATTTTAAATAGTAACCTTCACCTTGGCCCAGTGACAAATGACCCAAAGGTCAAACAAATAGTTTCTGGTCTCTCCTCATAGAGCTTCTATTTGAGTGAAAATATTTATAATAAACTATATTTGCAAGATTCAATACAGTTGCTGAACACGCACATGCACACAATTTTTTTTAATTAAATATTGACTTCTTGACGTGGTGGGGGGGATAACCTTTAAAATTTACATGACCTTTGCACTTATGTCTAATTAACAAACAGCTAACTTTAGCTAACGGCTTTAGTAGTAAAATTATTCTGATAGACAGAAACAGACACAAATCGTATTTCTACTTTTTATATAAATCTTACTAACAAGATAAGGATGCCTTATGTGCTTGAGTATAATATGAGTTTTTATGATCAGTTTTTTACACAAAATAAAGGAAGGGCTGCACTATACACAGGTAATTTTTTGGAAGATCTTAAAACATCATGCATTGTTGGAGACTGGTTGCACTTTATACAGGTAAGTCTTTCTGGAGGGGTTAAAATTCATGCGACAAAATTTCAGGGATTGCACTATACTTGAAGCCAATTTATACACAAGTAGATGGAGTAAAATTAAAATAACAAAAGCAGACATATTAAAAAGCAGGGTGTAACATAAAGTGGACATTGAAGTCAACACCCAGAGGTGACAGTCTGTTTCATGTTAAAAGCAATTGATTGTATTTAGCATGAAACAGACTGTCATTTCTGGGTGATGAATTCAATGTCCACTTTTATATTTACATACACTCTCTCCCTGATATTGAGGACATTAACCCATAAATATAGCATGCCTTAAAACTATATTTTATCATATATATAAATATATATATATATATTTTAAATAAAAACAGACCACTTTAACGTTCCATGTAATAAATTATTTTACCACAGCCCTTTTAAAGGACTGCGGATCATCAGACTTTACTTCCAAACAAAAAATGAAAAGAAAATTTACTCATTTTTGACAGACCGTATTAAACATATATAAATTAACAAAGTGAGGAAGTGAGTGGGGAGAGAGAAGACATGAGTGAGTTAGCAGATATTGACACATTTAAACGGTTAACTTAACAGA